ACACCGGACCGGAGGTGGGGCGGTCGCACCCGCAAAAGCGGCCCGGTCCCACACGGCCAAAAAAGCCAAAACGCGCGCGGTCGTCAATGTGTTAAGTATAATCTCGCTGCCATTGTTCGTGAGTGTTCAGTTGGAAATTCTTAACTAAGGAATAATCCCAATGATTACCCCCTCCCCCCATTGCCTTGAATAGGTCGAAACCCCGGGCTTGCCTAGAAATTCGCCTCTAGAAGTGGTTCAACCTTCTGAATACGTTATCACACATTTTTGATACGGAAAACCTGATTCCGGCGCCATGGGCACTCATAGGCAAGAAGTTCTAATTTTGGGACTGCTCGCGTTCGATTCGCTCATGCAATTACAGAAAACCAGTGGAAGTTATGCCTTCAGTCCTTCAAGCTATGTTGAATGTGAAAGCAGAACAGTTAGCTCTATGCTGAATCGGTCTCATGACCACTACATACTTGTGGAGCTGCAACTACTAACTGTGATATCACGAAATAATCGTCAACCCTATCTTCCTTTTCATGGCAGCAGCTGTATCTCATAGCAAAGGAAAGACAATAGACAGAAGAGCTGGAAAAACATTCTTTGTGCTTCTCCAGAAAACGCTTGGCATAGAATGAAAAAAAAACTCAAATTTTGCATTTTAGGACATAAGCAGCGGTGAACACTTCATTGTCGGGTTAATTTGACATTTCGTAATTAATCAAAACCTCCTTCTACGAACGCACTGTGAACTTCTTTGTCCTACCCTCACATTTTATTACTACTTAATAATAAAACGTCTGCTATTACTGTCACGTCATCAAGTGTCAACTCTCGCATTCAAGCTGATGGACCATAAGTTCCTTTTTTAGCTCATCAAACGCTACCTCGTCTGTAACAGTTTTTGAACACTTTGTCATCGTTTTGAACAATTCGATGTCTTCAGGAACAGCATTTGATTCGAAGTTCTCTGCCTCCAACTACCCGGTTTATCGTTTCATCACATCTCCCAAGAACTATACATAGAAGAAAAATTGCTACAACGAAACCTGACCGGATAAGTTATAAGTTGATATCTTTGAAACAAGTTCAGGTCCTGGAGATGGTGAATTATTGTCGACAGAATAAAGCTGTCCTATCGTGACGGGCTTTGGGTTATGGCAACGATATCAAGATTTATAAAGACCGACTTATATAATAAAGGCAGCTCCTTGACTCGATGAACGTGCTTCCAGATTCAACAACATATGTGCACGATTGTGCACGGGTCCACACAAAGTGCCCATATTTACGAATGCATTCTCCAAATGTGCGAGCATAGCGGTCGATTGCGGTGCTAATTCTGCTCGTTTTGCCCTCATTTAGCGAAGGATTGATAGCCCTACGAAATGTTCTGGTCAAGAGCCAGGTGCGCAGCGAATGAGGAATTAACATGCGAGTAATTGCGATTGAGCACCGCAACCGTATTCAAGGGGAAAGCACATGATTGCTACAAATGGCAGGTGAGATCTGCAGAAAAAAACGTAAAGCATGATCACCAAGGGTATAGGAAAATAAGATTGGACTGTAATGCACAGGACACCGTGCTGTGGCAGTTGGATCTGACCCTTGAAGACTAATTTCGTAATTTGATTTCTGAAGCTATGTTGGCTCTATCAAGAGAACCTTGTTCAGTTCGTCAACCACATCTACAGTTTACTCCTCAAAAGAGGTTTCGATTATATAGCTGTCTAGCGCTAATGGCCGACGCAAACAACCTAGGGACTATAGATTGCCCCTTGCTATGATCGAGTGTGCCATACTAGGGCCGGACTTCTGAGTGTTGATGTCTCAGGAGATACTCCTCACCAGATGAGTTTACCCAGATTACTCTCCAGTAAGTGATACGCGCACTATGCAGGTGTCCAAATTTCAATTTTTGCTCAGGAAAGCGGGGTGACCGGCCGTCAGCTCAGTTCTTGTAGGGAAAGCCGGACTTTTACCATCGTTAAACATGGCAACACTGAAATCCTTCGATTCGAAAACCAACATCCGATGGAGGGATTCCCATAAGTTATGGAAGCTTGTTATTGCTGACTTTGCTCAATTTTGTTCAAGATACATTTTGATATCTGTCTTCATCACGCCGTTAGTGATGTGCTCAAGCGACCATGTAATAAACAAGTAAATATATAAACCAATTACATTACCAATTACATATGAAGAGCGGTACTTGGCGCTGTTGTGCTGTCATTTGTTCAGCGGGATTTGACGTTAGGACAACTTTTAAAATTTCAATTAAAGAAAAAGTCTGCGGCTACTATAGTTATAGCTGTCCCCACCGGGTACTTGGCGCTGTTGTGCTGTCATTTTTTCAGCGGGATTTCACGTTAGAACAACGTCTTGTCAGGTACAACTTCGCTATCATCAATGCCACCCACATGATGTAAAGGAAGAAGCATCGGGCGATACGCTCAAGCCAGTCCGTAGGTGTAAGTGTGCTATTCATTGGGGGCTTCACATACAGATGACTTTTTCAGTTTATATAAAAATGCTACTCGACCTGGTTCCGTTAATAATGTAAGCTCCACGCAAATCAATACAATCTGCCAAATGCTCTCACACAGGTATACGGTATAGGAGCGGTTACATTCTTCGAAGTCCCTCGAGGTAGAATGGAGGTTAGCTAGCGAAGTTCTTCCAGCTCTGAGGCACTTTTAGCCTTGGTTTCCTCCACGAGTTTTCAGAAGCTGGCTAAGGGAAGCATTAGTTCCGAATGACCACATAAAGTTTAGCTCTGCTACATAACAGGGCTCCATTGGTTCACTGCCGAAATTTCAGGAACTTGACTCTGAGGTTGAAAAATGGGTGAGCCATCCCAATGGAGGTGAGCTTGCAAAGGAGTCCACTGACTAGATCAAGGGTGGCTTAACACTTCTTCTACGCAGTTTCAGGGTCTGTTTTGCAGATTTGTGTGCGATATGCGCTATAGTGGTGTGTTAGCTGATTGATTTGTATTTAATATAAAAGGTATGATTGAGTGCGGCGGCTCGAATAATTGTCGCGCTCTTGACCTCGGCATATACTGCTGATTACGTGGGGCTTACAGTTTCGACCCGTATTGACCTCACAGTGGCTAGGCATGCTCCGCCTCTAAACGAGCGATTTCCCTCGGCTGCCATGCTCAGCCGGATTCATATCCGCTCGTGCTACATGAAACACATGCGGCATTATTTCATTGTTTCATTTCTGCAGATATAGTGTTGTAGGGTTTATGACTATACACTGATGGATTTTGCAGAGCTCTTACTGCACTTCTACAGATCAAACATCTTTTGAGAGAAAGCGGACCTTTGTTAACCGGTGATGAGTGCTGAGGTTGCTTGACCTCGACAGGACGCGATCATTGCAAATTTTGAACTGCAGCGCCACAACTCTCTTTTGTAAGCTACTTGAAATCGATAAATTGTAAAGATAGTAGGTTAAGGTTGAAAAGAAATGGACCAATGGGGGTGAGAAGGCCTGTGCGATAAGGAAGGCGCTCTGCGTGTTATTATGGTCCATTTCGGGATTGGGATTTGTCGAATGGAACTAGGCATTATTAAAGAATGGTTCGTAAGCACGATGCTTAAAAAACGCCACAAAATTGGAGCAGTCGAACGTAATACTATGCAGACTCTCCGAAGAAATGTCTCCCGCGCAAATTCAATGGGACCCGAGGGTGAGAGGTTACGATGGCCGCTGCTCGGCTCTCACCTGTTGGCTCGTTAGCGAGAGCGACAGGTGTGCCCGTATAACGCTTTTTATCGCGACGTTGACCGTCTTTCACCATAGTGACCGGGCTAAATCGCCTTTTGGAGACCATCGTTAGCCAACGTTAGCCGACGATATAGCTGCCGCCGCCCGACCGTTGATAAAGCCGCTCCAATCACTACCCCGGAATTACTATTTAGCCCACCAAAAGAAGGATAGCAGCGCTTTGATTGGCGAGCTTCGGCCTCCCCATCTGCCTATGTTGTTACTTAACTTCCATCGTTTCTTTATCATTTCCTCTATAGAAAACAATATTTCTTTTCCATCGGCTCAGTTTCTGCCTTCCTGAGTTGTCTCTTTGCCAAAAACAGGTCACCATGTCTCATCCCCCTCACCCCTACCAATTTCGAATGAATCTGGTTGCATACATAATTCGACGCAATTTGTCTTACTCTTCCAGCTTTGTCTTTATCTGTCAAATTCGTATCTTCTACTAGGATTACTGTAGGCGGCTAGAACTATTGCGCCACTGTGGAATAAAAGAGCTTGCTCTATTCCATGGAATGAATTGTTCTCGAACTGCAATATTTCTGTTATTCTTCCCTTGTTTTCAGAATTTATGTTACTATTAGCACTATTCGGCTTACTCCGACAAGCACACACCGACGGCTTCGGTAAGGGATCCAGAATTTTTTTTTCATCGCATTTTCGATTTTCATAATAGATACAAAAAGGCCTTCTAGTAGCATAGTCTGATGGTTTTCCGGAACGCATTCTGGCCATTTGAGTAGTTTTCAAGTGCGTGTGGGAGTGTATTCCTATATTAATGAAAGTCATCAAGCCACAGGTAACATCGAACTTCCGCATGAATAGCATTAGTATGGGAACACAGACCAACAACACAGGTGAAGAAAAGCAGTTCAACTCAGTGAACCTGCAGGGACGGAAAGGAAACCCTGGACACACTTTTTCAAGAATTCCAAAAACACCCTTCAGAAGAACAGGGTCCAGGCCCAGTTTTAGTGCAGAATGTGCCTTGAATATAGTAATCAAGCAAATTTAGTTCAGAAAGTGATATTTGAAGAGAAACGCGAACAAAAGCTCTTCAGCCTTTATTGCCTATGTATTGCAGCCAAAGCACAGCTGGGGCATCATTAGGGCTCTTGGATTTTTGCTGAATGTTTCGATTGCAGCATCCCGGAATCTGGAGGGGGGGGGGTGGTCCACACTTGATACAGTGTTATTCAGAGCTCCAGTTGTTATGTGTTTTATAGCTTTGATTTCGAAAGAGAGGTGCATTGGATCAGTGTCTGTCTGATTCGCTTATCAATGGAGTCTCAGATTAATGCGGGTACATTGGCGATTCGTCATCCCTGGATATTCTTCCCTCTGTCAGCGGCAGCTGCCTAAACGTACAAGCACCGAAACCACTTTTTGCACACGGTCGGGTCATCTCGATATCGCTAACATAGAGCTGTTAACTGTCTCTGTCACCGTTCTCGGCAAAGAAAGATAGCCGATAATTCCTTTTAATTCGTCGTGCAGCTCGGTCACGTAATTATTGCTAGCTATGCTCCGTCAATCACCATCACCATATTGTGGGCACCCATCGCGCGCAACGTGAGTCCTGCATCACCTGAGCTGAGCTTGATTTGAAGCTAGAAGTTGTTCTTTTTCGGCGCATAAATGAAACATTGGCTTGAACTGGCCCGGTACTAAAGAAAAAAGGAAAACCGATGTTGGAAGCGCTGACGTTTAGTTCAATTATTATAGTTATTTGGTTCGGCTGCGCTTAGGCAATGAGAGGTTGAGTAAGGGAATAGGGGCTAGAAATTAGCACAGCTTGTGGGAGAGAGTCAGATATGACCGTACTGCAGACGAGGAAAATGGGACACCTGGACCTTGCTGCACATTTTGGAGCCGTAAAAAAGGAATAACCGCTACCATCGTGAACAGCCTTTCTTTTGACTCCATAGTGGCCCTATCCTATCCTTTAAAAGGGTTCATCCAATCGAACTTGTCCTGGGTCGTGCCTTTGAGGATTCATGCTTTGCGGTGTGACACTATTACGTACGTATTAGTAGTACGCACTATTTAGCAAGTTATTCAACATTTTCAAATATTTTATGTGTGAATTAGAATCAGCTTCTTGATGCTAATTCCACCAAAGGCGCAGTACGCAGGCTTATTGAAAGTTTTATTTTATTTCATGAAGCTTTACTCCACTTAATGCGAGAAAGCTGTCTAGAACGGTTGTTCTTTACATGTCCTTTTTTGAGAGGATGGAACATTGGAGAGTTAATTTCGTAGAATTATCGTATAAGCTTCCATTTCAGTAGATGAGGTGTCATGTTCGTCGGGAAGTCTAACAGTCATGCTCAACAAGTCAGATCCAGATATTGCCCGTTGGATGAGCGACCCGAAATCACAACCAGTAGTTAGTTTTTCGGTAAAAATGATAGGAATTCACGGGATCTGATCAAAATTTGATCTTACCACTTATATGATTGCTAAAAAAATTCTGTTCTGCATCTTGTATTTATAGGTATACGTCTACGGCCACAAGACACTTGTGCCTTGCGGAACATCACTGAAAAACGACAAAGGGCAGCAGAACTACAATCTTACGATACCATATGGCAAACACTGCGATGTTCATCTTGCTGACTTGGTTTGTAGACATGTACTACATCAATGAGTAATGCTTATCAGAACTGTTTCATCAAAATAGTGGACTTGATGTTGAGCAGCGAATTTTTGGGATGCGCCATGCATTTGATTGCCGTCCAGTACACCATAGCGGTACTCGACCGCTGCTAAATACAATATTGTGTGGCTAGGTGATGTGAAAGATTATATTTCTATGCTCTCAGAAACCTCTCTCACCAGTTTGCCGACCCTTAGGAGTAAAATACTTGGCTGATAGACAGTATTTATGGGTTCGACCCTGCCAATAAGAGCGTGTGGTAAACGGTAAAAATAACACTTGTCGCCACGTTATCTGTGCAATATAAATTTTTTAATAAGTACGAGGTATTGTAAGCATCAGCCAGAACACTTCAGGAGCCAAATTACCGAACTGCAGAAACCACGATAGCACTCGAAGACAATGTGGACACAAGCATATCCAAAGTGATCCGAATCAATCACGTCTTCTGCCTATACACACGAAGTGTTCAAACGATCAGATATAGCGACGTCTCAACGTTAGTTCTGTTCAAAGCAATGTTTTATAAGCTTGTGAAAGAGTATCAAAAGTAAATCACACATTTAGCGCTCACGAAGTGTTGGCGTCGACTGGTGGAAAGCCGAAACCGAAAGTGGAAATGATGTTCCGAAGTACAGACGGACGCCCATTGAGAACAGCCAAGTTCGGCGACACTGTGGAATTTTACGTTGCTCTTACACCAGACAGTAAGCACTAGCCTTACCCAAACAGCACACATTTTCCATAATGGGTACGTTACAGCCTATTTTCAGAAGCGTATCACGGTATCTCGCCGAAGGAGTGCATGTTCAGCGACCGTGAAGATATGTTGTCGCCCGATGCTCGTCATCTCACGTTTGTCCAAAGCAGGTAAGAGACGGAAGCAACTACAGTACCTCCCATAACTTTGTTAAAAAAGACGCGGAAGACGCGGATCCGCGTCTTTTTCGTCTTTTTGCTATAATTTGATTTCTGATCGCTTTTCGACATGAAAAACTATACCATTAGACTCAGCTCGTCGAGTGCTATTAGAATGTCCTCTCAGATTTCAGAAAATTTCATTTTTCTATTCCAAAGTACCTGAGGCTACTCATTAGCGAGCGTCGCTCGCTATAATTACAGCCAGAGACAAACAGCTTCCACTAGTATTCAGCAAGCCTTTTCGCTTCTTTTTTGTTTTGGAATAGTATGAAAAAAGTGACTAACGTGTTCTTCAGGTGATGCTGATCATTTTGATACCTGATATTCCCTATTTAAGTCAACTTTGTTTAAATCCATTTTTGGAACGAAGTTGCATCTTTGAAGCGAAAAATAAGGAGAATGGGCCAAACTATGACATTAGCAGAGGATTATTTCTCTTCTAGTCACTTAATCTGTACTTAATCGATCATTACGGTCGCCACTGGAAACGGTGGCAACCTGCTATTTCATTTTTTTCTGAAGTCCTTCTCGACCTATTCTATTTCAGTTGTCCAGTTCATGAAATGTCAGAGATTATCGATCCACTGGCTAATGTCAATGAGGAAGTCTATTTTTCAAAGTTCAAGACGTTCCGTTTCGGAAATCAGAGCACTGTATTCGCTCAATGCACGGTGCAGGTTTGCCTTGTTGGATCGGAGTGTGTCCAGGTGAATATGACTCAGTTTGATTGTCGAAAGTGTTCAGCACTGATTATATTATCCTAACTTCTCTCCTATGAGGAGCTTTTTGATGCTGATGAAAATTGGAGTTAAATAAAAAATGGAATTCCTGCACTTCCTAATCTCGGTTGACATCATTTAGAGCCGTAGCATGTCTCCATCTCGGCTGAAATAAAGTAAGGGGGGGGGAGAGAAAGATGTCTCGCCGCCTTTCTTAGCATGCTTAATGACGAAAAAAATAAGTCTATACTAGTGACTTTCAACTTGTGACCGGGAAAGGCAGTTGATCGGAATTTTTGCTTCGCTTTGCTCTGAAATTTTTTTTGTGTTCACCGTGTCAGAGGTGATACCGAATTCGGAAAATTCCATGTGTCTCAGTTTCAAAAAAAAAAGAAATTCCTACAATAGTTTGTTTTAGAATTGCTTCAAAAGGATTTCGAATTCGAATTTGACAGCGGAACGACTTCGGTTTCGTCATAAAAGGGCAGTGAACCCGCCGTTCAGCAAAGACGACGTGTACGATCAAGTCTCAGTGAGAGAGTCGCTAACAATTCTGGACGATATGGAAACGGAAGAAGGTGCTTATTTGTATTCACTACATGTAAGCGCACCGTTTATGCTAATACACAATCAGCATACGAGAGAGAGCATCATCGCGAACATTCCATCGAATCGTGCAAATATACGGTAGATTTGGTGACTGGACAATGAAATCAGACTCTTTCCTCAATGCCGCATTTTTTAATAGATACATGATTTTACGCGAAAAGCCTAGCATCCTAATCAGTCCCTTCGGAAGCGTCACGCACTCTACCTCCGCTGCGAATTAGTGGAATTTAAATGGAATGGTCCATGTATATGTACAGCGAATTTTGGGAGTCGGCCGATGCAAATGTACGTGTCCGCGTTTCTATCCACTCTACGAGACTGATACCTATTAAACAACCGAGAGGGATGAAGGGCTAAATTGACCTGGCAAAATACAGGCCGAGATATCACCCCGGACCTTAGGCGAACAAGTGGCGCTACTCTCCACTACAACCTCCGCTCATCCCTTCCATGGTGTACACAAGTAAATGTACTCAATGTTTCAGTATCGTCAAGATCAACAGAACAATGTTTGGTATCAACTTCGCGGATTCCAGTCCCGTTGATGCTCTCCATAATCATGCTGCTAGTTTTCTGCGTTGTTTCGGCGAGCGTAGCGGTTTATCTAGGATACAGACTCGTGCGGAAAAGAAAGGTAGTCATTCAGTACTTCCATCAATAGTAGTGGTTCTAGGTTACCGCGAGCATCAGGCTCTATTAGCAGATTTATAGGAATAAGTAAAGCTAAGGATAGTTTCATATATCCTCGAAGTGTCTCATTTCTGCCCTTGATATCCGTATCTTTCAAAGATCCCAAAATTCATTTACTGGGATATCTTCTTTACACATCCTCCGATCTGCTCCAGCCCTACAGCAAAAAACCAGTACCGCGATCACACTGCCTTCGCACCCCTAGAAAGTGTAGGGGAACAGTTTTAGAAAAGTCACATCAAATCTAGATGATATGTCCCTTGTTGAGCATCCCATACCCTGACCACTAATTTTGTCAATCATTGGGAAAAAGGTGACCGAAAGGGTACATACATAAGAGTAGAGCGAATACAGTAGAAATTTCCTTACATTTTCAAATTCTCTGAGGAATTCTCTTTGAATATCTCGAGAGAATGTACTGCCGATCTTTCTTCGAGGCTTCCTATTGAGGCGAAGAGAACCGAGAGAAATGGCCTAAAACCTCAGAAATGGAACCTCTTCTTGTCCGCTGAGTCCTGCATTCATGCCCCTCCCATCGGTGCTGCCTCTTCAACGCTAACGCTTTCTGTTTGCTAAGCGGTTAGAGATTCAGACACTAGATTTCGCGAGAGGGGGCGTAGCGAGCCAACAGTGTGCCAATAGCGGCGCGGGGAAGGCCATGCTACATCGCCCGGGGCATATCCTCAACGCTATAGCGTGTCGGTCCACACCCTTAAAATTTCTGCCTGTCTTTCCACAAGATAATTTTCTTCGTTCTTATCCGGAAATCTTCCTTCAAGAACCTACCATGGCATGCCCTATCGATTCCCTTACAAACAAGTCTCTCATCAGTTTAAAACATTTACTTAAGCAAACATCACTTGACGTATATTCCGTGTACTCGTCCTCGATGAGCGCTATGGGATCATCTTCGACGGCTCCGATCTATGGAGGCTATCCTAGGCATCACTATGTGCATCATTTGGACGACAATTATCGATGAGACAACAGATGCTGTGAGAGGCCATACTTTGGCCGATGTTAATTTTCAAGCTCAGAAATTACCGTTACAGTGTTTCTATGACTTCACTGTCATTTGATTTTCGTAGAGAATTTTCTTCTCCTTCGTTTTTTTTCTTTTTGAGAGGATTCGAGCTTAGCGTTTTCTAGTCGCTATCATTTGCTTGTGAATGCTATCATTCCAGTTATCATTCACGTGTCATTCATAATTCACTTGCCGTTTATTTACTGTATTACGCGCCTTTCTTTTGATGTCCCTCTGATTTAAAGGTAATGAGGCTAATAAAGAAGACTAGACGTAGAAACAGAAAATCAACGACAACGATCAATAATGTTCTTATATTCAACAAAAATCGATTTGTGCACTTATTCGTACACCGTAAATAGGAGCAATCCTCATGGAAGGAAAACTTGATTCTTGAAACCAGACGGCTCCTCTGAATAGGATCTCCCATCAAAACCTGATCACCATGACCACCTCGAGTGTCTGCTTCTGATACCACATGAGACACTTCGATCTCACATTAAAACGGCTCTAAAAGTGGGGTCGGTTCCGGTCAGAGAATGACAAACAGTTCCTGAACCTGCAAGTTCTACGTAGTTTCTCCTATATTTCAGATCTTTTCGGTTAGACATAAAAGAAATCCACTTCATTCCCAAAAGCGCCACCCTCTGGAAAACACTACCCTCTCAACTTCCACCACGACTACCACACATAAACCACATATACGCCTCCGATCCGGAAATACTCGTGGGCGGAATTGGTTGAAGGGCCCTATTTTCTAGCACGTACGACACTGATGGTGGTCGCAAGGGTATGGGACCTTTACTTCCGCATTAGTACATCACTTTTTGTTGCCATCTTGGAGGAGGCAAGGGTACCAAGCACATCTTCTGCGTGGTATGTCTTAAGGGGACATACAGTAGAGAAAGCGAGTTCAATGATCGTTTTTACTTTTTCGAGTCAATCGAATGAGCCGTGAGTCTTGCAGTTATATTTTGCTCCACCGCAGCTTTCGACTCGTAAATGAAGGTTGATTTGCTAAAGGATCGATGCTGAAAAGAAACGCCAGGAACTGTAAAAGTACTGACCTTATTTCCTGAATAGTGGACATGGTTACAAACAGACGGATGCTGTCGGTAAAGACAATAGAAATGAAGACAGGATCAGAGACAAGAAAGTGCGATAGAAAAGCCATCAGAGGCACTCCGCCGCGTAGAGCTTGCAGTGTGCGGAAGAGAATCCAGGTGAAAGCGGTCATGACAAGGCTCCAAAGCCCTCATTTCAATTCACGAGCCGCTACAACAGCACACGTTTCACCTTGCAGATACTCGTTAGCAGGGTGAGAATCGTGTCGAGGACGTGGTCGCAGAAGTACGACCCCCCCTGAAATCGAGGACTTGGCACGACCCCCTAAAACAGAGCATACGCAAAATCACAACAGCCGAGTGTATCGATCAACGGCCGATTCAACGGCAGCTGCGGCGCGATTTGTCCTGGGTCAGATTTGCTGAAATCCCAAAAAAAACCGTCGAAATCTACACCCTCGATGAAAAGGTTCCATTCCTCCATTTCCCAACCTTTTGAACAGCACGCGGTAGGGTTAGATAGAGCTAGATTTGCTACTATCAGGCAGTATTGGAATTGCTATGAAAGCCTTCCATTCGAAGAGATATAGTCTCTCAAAATCCGTCGAGGGAGCGTCGAGGATGCTGAAATTTTCATGCGAGTTTTTGCCACTTAAAAGGCAATATCTCTCTAATTTCGCAAGATCTTGAAAACGAAGACAGTTTTGGAAAGCGGAAGGTTTGCGCTTTCTAACAGTATGTTTAGCTTCCTTCTACATTCTCTAGTTGAGGAGATATTTGCGTCGAGGATCTATCGAGGATGATTCTCGGCTCAAAAAGCCGCTCCCTTCTTCACCATTGCAAGTGTAATTCGTTGGCAACGCTCGAAATGTGTCTAGAATACATTCTTCCAACATAAGCAATAAGAAAAGGGGCAATCGTCATCATCCGATTTTGTCTGGGTATAGGCCATGCATCCGACCTTCACTCGAAGTTGCAGAATCGATTGGAAGGTGTTATATGATCATGACCAAGCTGCATTGTAGTAAACACATTTCGTAACCAATATAGCCCAGGGCCTTTCCTTCACGGTTGTCGTTTTTGCGACAGCGTCCCTAACAACAGTGTCATTCTCAGCGAGGTATTAAGGGAGAAGCGGGCGGTAGAGGAGGTGCCTTTGCAGCGCGTGTGCACATGTGGCCCCTTCCTTGCGGAGATGCACTTTCATTCTTTGTACTGCTTTCAAATACGTCCTTCTCATGAAGGTAGAGGAATGGAGCGACTGAACCTGCAAAGAATATTTTATATCATTTTTTTTCACATATTTTCGTTTTCTGCTGCGCTACATACCCTCTTACTCCTATCTGCACCACGATACCACTGATGTTACTGACCCCAACGAGTACGACCCCCCATGACCCAGCCCTGACAAGTACGACCCCCCTGTCGAGGATTTCCTCGACCGATATTCACCCTGCTCGGTAGTACTCAAGCAGTGATATAATAATACACTGAATTCACTGAGAAAAATTAGGATGAAAGGAAAGCCTGCAACACTTTCCCCATTTCTGATTCAATTTAATTTTATCATTCTGTTTGAGTGAGCTTGAGGTCTCGTGCCCGAAGCTCAGATATCGTCCGGTGCCTCCCCTCCAAAATGTCGTGAGCTATAGGTCGAGAAAACAATTGACCTTCCTGCTATTTCCTAGTCATTCTATTTCTCAACTATAAGCCTAGCCTAATTCGTATTTGTAGCTAGATTTCCCATCCGCCACATGGAGGAGTTGGCGGATCTACTAAGTTGGTATTCGGAGCCGTCCTGCGCCGGCGGCTCGCACTGTTGGCAGGCCTATTGCCTTAATTTTTTTGGCCCATCCCTTCTCCCTTCCCCAATACTTCAGGACCTGTCGCTGCCATACAACAAGTTTTGATGCGTGTGCTGCGTATGGATGCTCTATTGACGATTTCTTCCAGGTGAGTGTCGTTTGGAACTTGCTTCACAGTTTCCGTTTTCCACATATTGACCGCGACCTTGATCAATCTTGGGATGACATCTTGCTGTGAGTGAGGAAACTCATCCCTCTTCACTTGCGAGCTTCAATGGGAGGTTTAAGTATCTCGCCCTTGTAAGATTGGCTCTTGTACAGTGTGGGCCTATGTGTGTCACGCTTGAATATCAAATATTTTTTGTTCAGATGGGTCTTCGCCCGTGTCAGGCGATGGTCTAAGGCGGATTCATATGGCGGTAATACGGAAACGTCGAATAAATTCCAACGTCGATTTGATAGAACAGGATTTATTTCCGTGTGCGATTATCCGTTTAGACTTTCTCAGGTCCATAGTCTTTTGGCTGGCTTTTCGAACTCCGAATTTCCGTGAAATACGCGGCATGCGAACTGAAGATCCAGCAGTCGTTCTCCGTCTTCATTCTCTCCAGCCATGGGGTCCGAGTCTCCAGTCACACCTGCACATCCCTGTGCCCACCACGGTGCCGAAATTGCTGATAACAAATTTGTGATAGGTGCACACTTCATGAATTGTCTTTTCCAGTAGTTCGTAGAATTGCTCGCTTTCTTCATTTGTGGCCGCAGAGATTGGTATATATCCAATGATAATAGATATCGTGCGCTTTGTTCTTTAGTTAAGTTTAAGAACAGCACGGCATGGGCGGACAACTTCGTGAGAGTAAACCAAATTGAGGACTATCGAGTTCACGAGAAGTCCAAGTCTATCGATTTTCATGCTATTCACATTGGCTCCAATGACGCGCAGCTCGTTGCGGTCAGTGTTCTTGATGGTCCTATCCTGCCTTTCGTATCTTGTAAGCGATAAAACCGTATTTGCTCATGCGGTCACATTGACGACAACGCGAGTTTTGGCTTTTTGGCCACGTGGGACCGGGGCGATTTTGCGGGCGCGGCCGCCTCAGGTCGTTCAAGCAGATTTTGAGTGATAAATACATAAATAATGATCAATACAAAACCAGATCAGTAAATTGTAATGAGCACAACCTACCAGGGGTACAGTAGTGGAATTTCGATCGAAAGACATGGAATAACAATGAAAAAGCGAAATTTTCAGAACTAGCTGCAATGGACCTCAAAAGCAATTTTACGTTGATTATTTCAATCAAAACACATATTGTCATCCCTAAGGTTCCGTATCTACTTCTACTACTATTTAAATCTTCACATTCATAAAAAGAAAAAGTAAACGAAAAATTTATTAAACTGAAGATTTCGTATGGTTCAGAAATCCTCCTCTAAATTAAAGCATACGTGACCATTCTATGGGCCACTATGTTTGTAGCTACGTCAAGGTCTCTTCCATGGAATAAATACAAGAAACTTCTAAAAGAATCAGGCGTGCGCGAAAAAAATGAGTGTAATGGGTGCGGGGGATATATATCCCGCACGGTCCGACATGGCCTGCAATGCGCGGGATATATATCCCCCGCGTTGTCGTCAATGTGTTAATTAAGTTGTATGAAGATCAGCTTCCGATGATATGGTGTGACAATTACACGAGCATACAAAGAGGCAGTCGTAGCGCCGTGGGTTTCCAATGTTTCGATTCCAATGACGTCCTGAATTCCTTGCCAGATAGATGACCTCTGACCAGTAGAGGATTGCTGACGCCGTAGGGGAGCACTCCCCGTGTGCGCAGGACTGGGACACGTTCATCTTGTTTAAGCAATTCATTTGGCTTGGTTACTCAGTTGTTTCTCGCTATATATACAAAAGAGCCGCCCATACACATATCGTGATGCGTACTGCGTAGCAATCTGTACCGTTGGCCCCACACGAAGTAGTGTGCACGGTGTACTTATGGGAGCAAAAAAGAGTCACTTCCCTCCACATTCAAAACGGAATTATTACGCTTTGCGAAACCAAACCGAATGAGCCCAACTGAATA